ATAGTAAACTCTTGGGGCTTGGGGGGCCTAATACAAACTTTAAAATACAACTTTCAATATTGATGATATACATGTTATTAATTGTAGACAAAAGCTTAAAAAGATGTACATGTACTTACTTAATATAAAATCATATCATTATCAGGGCCCCATCAAAGTTATTGTCCTAGGGCCCATGCACATACATATATATAGCCTATTTGGAGCCTGTGTACATGTACATGTATATACTGTGTTGTACCTGGTGAAGTGACTTACATGTAGGAATATTTAATGAAGTATTTAAAGTTGTGAGAGGAGCTTACCCTCTTGAACAGTTAGATCAGTCCTTGATACTGGAGGGGTACTCTTTGGTAGTGGATTATTGTTAGTCTCACCAAATTAAACTAGAAAAGATGAAATAACAAAAAACTGTATAATAAAACTGGGGGCTACATACATGTACATCAAGTATATATAATCCTAAATAAAGTATAGGAGGTCCCTCTAATAAAAGGACAGAATGGGCTTAATTTCAAGAATTAAAGTTGGAATCAGCTCAAACTTAATTCCTACAAAGCATAAGGACATCAATATTGTAATGAAAATTGGGGTTATTCTGTTTTGACCCACTTTAAACAAAACATGGACTATTACCTTGGGGTGCAATTTTCAGAATTTCGGCATTTTCTCAAAATGGCCGTAACTTAGTTAGGATCAGCTCAAATGTTCTACACAGCATACATGTAATGTGTACATTGTAAGTACATGTACATCAATATGTATCAGAAAATGTAATAATAACTAAGAGTGATTTGAAACATTTTTTTGGATAAAACACAAGGCCTTGTGCATTTTTAGAAATTTGGCCTTTTCTTAAAATGGCTGTAACTTGAAAAATTTCATTTAATCAGGTCAAACTTTCTACATGGCATAAGGACAGCAATGTGTATTTAAAAATATAAAAAAATTAAGGTGCTTTCATCGCTGTTTTTTTGGGAAACAAACCAATATTTGAAAATAGTACTAGAATAGCATAACAATATCAATATGTACAGGTATACAATATAAATGGCCACACCTCTATGAAATCATGACTATTATTAACCTGATATATACATGGTATCATACCTTCATTATTGAAGAGAAGGTCTCACTCCTTGAGTCAGTGGTTGCCTCCTTCTTAAGTAAATCATCATTTAAACTGTTTATAAACTCAATGGATTTATCCTGTAAATGTATACAATTAAAAATTGATGAATATAATATTAACTTTAGGTATACTATGTACATGCACACTCACCTCTATTGATAAGATGTTCATTCCTAACACTCTCAGTTAAAAAACTTGAACAAAAACCAAACGGCCTAAAAATAACAATAATGACAGTTAATTAACTAATGATTATGTTAAGAATAATTAACTAAATGTAACGATAATGTCAAGAAACTGTTATTTCTTCTTCAAATACATGCATACATACAGGTACATGTATTGCTATACTACATGTACAGTAAGTTTGAGCTGATAATGATTGAATTGATTTGGTTATGATTTTTAAAGTTGCCCCAAAGCCATACATGTAGTAAATGTACATGTATAGACACTATTGTAGTGTTTGTCACCACATAAAGCATATTCACTTTTTAGCTCACTTAACATGCTTTGTGGGAAACCATGAATGCTACTAAAATCTAAAACTGTTATACTGACCTAAAATTTAATAAACACATACATGTACTTAGCTTATACAAGACAGCATGTACAGTACTGTAATTCCTTTCACTCTAAATTTTAAGTTTTTCTAAATTTTCACTCTAAATTTTAAGTTACAGCCATTATCAAAAAACAAGCCAATTTTGAGAAAAAACTAAAGACTATACATGTACAGGTACATGTAGTATAACACCTTAATTACTCCACCCATCTCATAATTGCACCCCCAAAAATGAAATCCTAGATCCACCCCTGACAAGAAATATGTATACATTGTACATGTACATATACACATGTAGTTAGAGTATATACTGACCTATGAATAATAAACCCACCATATAATCATTAATGTACATGTACATGTTCATAGTAAAGTGATGTACATGTACGTGTATATGCATAAAATCATCAAAAAATTTACAAAGAAATAAAGCTGCCATACATTAAAGTGCTGTACAAAATACAAATTATTTAAAGAGGAGGACATTACAATTAATACAGTATAGACCTACCATCTTCATCATAATTGCTCATGGTGTCATCAATCCTGTTAGAAAACTCTAGCAGAAGGTTCCAAGTGTCTTTGGGTATTGCCAGCTCTTTTATAATGAGACTGAGAGAAGGGGGAGGGAGGGGGAGAGAGAGAGAGAGGGACCTTCACATGTAATTAAAAGTATTGTTTACACTTAAAAATTCATACCAAAACCAAAAATTTGAAGCGACCAGTAAAAATAAGATTCCAGTAGGCAATGGCCATCTCAAAATCTGTAGAGAAATAAAAACACAAAAGATTTTAATCAATTCATACAATATACATTAAATTATACATGTATACATGTACTCTCAAATTTTAGTAGGATCACTAGCAAAATTCCCCCATCAACATGTGTACATTGAAATCATTGTGTGAAACATGATCCTACATTTACATGTACGTGTATTATAATATGTCACTAGCCTAGTCCTTTCTGTCCGAGTTTTTGGCAACATTAAACGTAAACTGGTAGAAGTCCTTGAACTGTTGTGAGTCCTGTATCTCTCAATCAATGGTCTCACACCTTTTACAGAGTTTATCAATGGAATCACACCTAAAAGAGGGAGAGGGGGGAGAGCGAGAGGGAGAGAGAGACAGAGACAAAGAGAAAGAATTATACATTTATTTGTAGAAAGAATGTGAATTATGTTAATTAACGGAATAGAGATCCTTCAAAAACAATCAACTGCTTCATCAAAGTAAGTATCACCTAAACACTAGTAAAATGTACTAGCACAATGAGGATACAGTAACTGACCATTGGGATCAAACTCATATATCTCTGAACTGACTTGCATGAATAGGAAGAATTACAATGAGGCTGATCTAAACACAATCTACAGACATGTAAAATTGTAATTGTACATGTACATGTACATGCAAAATAATAATGTCAATGAATTATAATGACATGCATCAAACAGGTCTACAAAAGTAATAGAGTGTACATACCGTATAGCAGGATTTATTGACGAGTAAAAAATTTGATGAAAACAGTAAATTTCTCCGGTTGGCGAGTTTCAATTTGACGAATAGTGCCCTTTGCGTACACGTGGCACAAAGTACAAAATTTTTGACAGTTATTAAATTTGACGTTTTATTTTAAATCGTCAACTTGTCAACATAAAACCTTTGTCAATAAATCCCGCTATACGGTATACAGAAAAACAAGCGTAACAGGGTAAAAAATATTCCTATAATTGATTTCACCACCTTGCAAATACAACTTGGTCACTATTAAGACTTATAGAGGTTCTCTCTACCTTATAATGCTTCTAAAAAAGTCTTTAGACAGTATCTCTATGCTCTCTTGCTGTTAGAAAGCTCTTAACTTTGTCCCATGTGTAAGCTGCCATTTTGTTTGCCGTGACCACACCCACTCACGTAAAGGAACGTGGGCGGGTGGCTGCTAAGGCTTGTTATTTCTCCAATACAACATGTACATGTATAGAAGAAATGTAAGTGTGGACATACAAATATATATATATATATATATATATATATATATATATCTACAAACACCGCACGTGGGTGAATTCAATTATAGGAACGACCTGGGGGCTAGACCCCCAGGTCGTTAAAATAATCATACAATTATGAATGAACCACTCACCCACACTGGTAGAGCCAGTCACCATGCACTCTACTCTTGACAGTTTCCCCTTTAGTCCACAATCCACTGACTCTCAACAGCATACCAGCAAACAATAGCTTCCTTGATATGTACACTCTATCAATCTGTGAGTCAATAAGAGTTAAGAGTATACATGTACAGTATATACCAGTGAATTGGTAAACCTCCACATGTATATTATAGTCATACATGTACATACAATTGAGCCAATAAATATTACACTTGCACACTGTACATGTAGCAACATTTACATGTAAATGCAATAAACATAAATGTACATGTACTCCATGCTGATACTATACATGTACATGTATACTGTACACTGTTTGTTATCAACCGTAGAATATTAAAACTTATTAATTCATTTAGGTTTCAGTATACCAATTTTTAAGAATGCATTGATTAAAAAATTTAAAAAAAACAAGATTGAGTAGGATTCTG